TCAAAAGATGGAAACATCACCTCCCAGAACAAAGGCTTTTAAAAGACGGCTCAAGACCACCCAGAAAAGCGTTCCCCGAGGGAGTTTATGGCTAACAGGGTTATGGATGAGGGCTCGCCATCTCCACGCTTCTACAAATGTGAGTGATGAGTCATTAAGGTAATGATGGTAGCCTAGTAGGTGGCAACCAGCATTTTGAAAACATGGAGCTCAATAGAAGGGAAGAGAAAACATCAGCACTCGTGAGAGGCAGAGTTGCGGTCGGCCGACTTGTGCGGGCACTCTGTGTGCATGTGCATCCCTGAACATGCTATTTCCGTGCTGTTCATCCTGCTGTTTCTACATTCTTAGTCTAAATGCTCCTAGCCTGCCGACCCACTTCTGCTCACCCAGGGTCTTCTTTTACTTTGCAAATGACATAATTTTCACATTCTCCTAGTTTCTATTAGCTGGCAGATGCTGGGACATTTGACCACTCAGAATCCATTAAAATCTGAATGGTTTTGGATTTGAAAGATCTGCAAGTCCCTGAGGTGATTCCTCATGTATCAGTCTGTCTCCTTTAGTCTCAGGCCAAAGTGACTGTTATTCCTGTATATCAGAGGACCTACGGGTATATTGGAGTCACCAACCCTGCCATCGTAGACAATATAAAGTGCACCTGGCTTTGCGGAATCTTGAAAGGCAGCCTCCTGCTATATCAAACAGGCCAGGGCGAGGGTGGGGGTGGGGGTGTGGGTAGAGTGAGTAGATAGGGTTCTATCTCCATGCCTTTTCCTTCTTGGTGCCATTTACTATGACAAAGATATATGGTTGTGGGAGACGTTGATTAAAGCTGCAGTAACTGCAGATCTGAGGGGAAATGTATCTGCAAAAGATACTAATCCTAGAATTTTGTGACAGTCAGGTTGAAGCCCTAGCTCTACATCAAGGTTCAGAGACAGTTTTAAAATAGAAGATGAAGGGCTGGAGAGATGGCTAGGTGGCTGCGCTTCCAGGGCACCTAGGTTCAATTCCTAGCACCCAAACTGTCCAGAATGTCAATCCTAGAGGATCTGATGCTTCTTCTGGCTTTCCTGGGCACTGTATACATCATGTGGTTAGTAGAATACTTCCCAGATAAGCGTGATACCTGAACTCAGATCCCCAGCACGCACATTAAAAATGCCAGATGTAGTGGCTGTAATCCTACTGACCCACCAGTCTTTATGAATCACTAAGCTTCAGATTTGAGAAAGATTCTGTGTCAAAAAGGTGGAGAGCAATAGAGGGCAATGCCTAATATCAATTTCTTGCTTCCCCACACAAGCATGCATATACATGTCTCTCTACACACATACGCATGCACACACACACACAGAGTCAGATGAGTTGCATACATTTGTAAATTCCATTGCTTAGGAGACTGAAATACAGGGATATGTTTGAGGCCATCATGGGCTACACAATGGGTCCTTGTCTGAAAGAGCTGGGGGAAGAGGCAGAGGTAGGAAGAGAAGAGATGAGATTATAGGATAGTTCCTCCCTGATGAGCTACATTCATGTGACAGGCATCCTTGGGTTTCAGTAGTCTGCCAGCTAAGTGAGGCCCAGAGACCAGCCTTACATCTCATTGATAAAGACATGCCATTCCTTATGTACATTTGTGTGGAGCTTTTCAGATGTCAGGATGATAGAAGTGTTTGAAATTTACCCCAATACCCATAATAATCCCACTATATGGGACTGTAATCATCACTATGCCCATTTAACAAATGAAGAGACAGAGATGCAGAGGAGAGCCAACAGACAGGAGATCTGCGGTTAGAGCTAGGCATGTAACCAGCATTACCTGTTCCCTCCATGTGGTACAGGATCAGAGGAGCCCAGGGTCTACTCCACTCCATGTTTAATTCTGAATAGCACCTGTTTAGGGGATAGGGGCCACATTAAAGAATCTGCAAGAAGGAGGCTTGAGACAAGGATTGAGGAACAGACAATAACCTGGCAAAGAAGAGCCATAGCCAGCATTTTAGCCAGTCCTGAGATTGCTAATGAGCAGGAGGTGGCTGCATACCTAAGATTGGTGGTCAGGACCATAGAGAAGAGGGGCTCCCCATAGGATTAGAGGCAAGCTGGATTTTGTTTTCCAGTGCTCATATTCAATTCTGTTAGGAAGTAAGAAGAAAAACAATCAGAAATTATCACCCAATCACAAAAATGTGACCATAGATAGAAGGCACCAAGGTAAGCTTTCTGATGAAGGTGCACACTAGCCACTCCAAGAATGTGGAGATGGAGCTGGGGAGATGGCTCAGTTGGCAAGATGCCTGCTTGGCAAACATGAGGACCAGAGTCTGGATCCCCAGAATGCACAGGAAAGGTTGGGTGCAACAGTGTATGCCTTTAGCCCTAGTTCTCAGGGTCATGGTGGAGGCAGAGGCAGGTGAGCCCCTGAAGCTCACTGATTGGTCAGTCCAGCTCAGTCAGTGAGCTTCAGGTTCAATGAAAGACTCTGTCTCGAAAAATAAAGGTGGAGAGAAATAGAGGAAGGCACCTGACACGGGAGCTCTGACCTCCACACATGTAAGCATGCATATGCAGAAGCAACTGCAGAATATGTGCATGCATGCTTGTACACACATGTACACACACACACACACACACACAGGAGAGAGAGAGAGAGAGAGAGACAGAGAGAGACAGAGAGAGACAGAGAGAGACAGAGAGAGACAGAGACAGAGATAACATGTGAGTGCTGGATTGATGGAATAGCTCAGTGACAGAACATTTGCCTACCATAAGTGAGACCCTGTATTCCATCCCCAGTACCACAAAGACATGAAAGATGAATAATAATATAAGCATTGAGAGAAGAGGCTGTTGAAGAGGTGTCTTCAAAGAGATTGGCTGAACCTGCATATGTGCCTTCTGAGCAAGCAATTCATGAGGTGTTATGGGTAGCTGAATAGACCCACCTTGTTCAAATTTGGTGAGGAAAGGGTGTTTGGACATTTCCTGGGACCATGAGGGCCCAGCTGGAGAGTGAAAGCACAGGAGTAGGGAGAGCCACCAGAAAGAAGACAGATGTCACTGAGCAGCTCAGAGACTAAGCCAGGGAAGTCCTGTCTTCCTGCTTTGAACTTGGATGGGTGAGAAACTGTCCAGCAGTTCAGCAAATGATGGAGAAAGAGAAAATTTCTCCTGATCCCAGAAGGGAGCATAGTGAGAGGCCAGCGCTTACTGTGTGGGCACTGCAGTTCTTTTGGGTCTCAGAAGTGGCTGTGTGAGTAGAAGATCCAGGTACTCTGTGGTGAAAGGCAGGGAAGGTGAGTCCATTTCAAGGGGTGTTGGGAAACAAAAACAGGCAAATACTTGGGCAGGTCCCACCAAATGAGGCTGCTCAGAATATGAGAGGTTTTTTGTTTTTGTTTTTTGTTTGTTTGTTTAGTTTTGGTTGGTTTAGAACGGGAGAGAGTAGCAAGCTGTCTGCCTGATGCTCCATTTACTTCTGATGGAGGAAGATTTAGATGTGGGAGCAGTTAGGAAAATAATGCTTCCTTAGCCAGTATTTCAGAGACTCCCACTGAAAAGAGAGGGGGAATTTAGAGGGGGAGGGAGGGAGAGAGAGCCAGAGAGCACACTCTCGAGAGCTTAAATAAACACAAGAAGAGAAGTACCCTGCAAAATTATGGACAGTACCAAGTGTGCATTTGTGCATTGTTTGTGGTTGAAATGACTTTCGCATGAATTTCATTTTCCTAAAATTGTGATTTTTCTTCAGACAGCAGCATAGCAAACAACTGGGTAGGGCAGGTGGAGGTGTGTTTTCCTTAGGAGGTAGAACACAGTTAAGGTTCCATGGCGGGGGGTGGGGGGGATTAGAATTAGTGTCCATTTAAGATGATGCTGATACAGTCTAGGCACCTATACAGTCTGATACAGTCTGGATCAAATTCATTTTCTCTGCCAGGCAAAATCTGAAGGAGGCAGCAGAGAAATCTGAGATAGATCCTTCCTCCCGCTTCAGGGTTGGTCAGTTGGAAGACAGGATAGTTGATTGGTTAGTAAATGTTGAGTGACACGTCCTGATCTAGCCTTGAACTTGTTGAACCAGTCCATCAGTAGGGGGCCTGCCGGTGGGACCCAAAAGCTGCCTAGCTTTTGTCTTAAGTCAGGAGACTGAGGAAACTTACCACTTTCCTTAGCTAGGCATAGTCCTGCTCCTGGTCTGTCTGCCTAACAGGGAGTCAAGGTACAGAGTGTTGGGTTTTTTTTTCTTTCTTTCTCTACTGGAGTATGAAAAGTATTTATTTCCTACTAGAAAGAAGAAAGCATATGAGACATTAACTTTTGCTCCCCCTTCCTTGTGCGCATGCTTGCTCAGTCTGTGATAATGCTGCTTAGATGTGAGTGAAAAAGCAGAGGTTGAGAATCTCTTTGTGATGTTAAAACTGCAAGTTAAACATGGGTTTAACTGTGGCTTCTGCTACCAAGACCTATATAATTACTTCCCCGACTAGAGGACATTACTAAAATGTCATAACTCTTCAGGTGAAGGTGATTTACATACTTCAAATAATTGTCTCCTCAAAGGTGCATTTGCTTTCCTCACACATGTCCTTGTAACAGCAAAACAACTGTCGTGGGAAGCAGAGCTGGTGAGAGTGCTGCTTCCCACAGGTGGACTCACGGTGCCTGGTGGCTCAAGAAAGAGACATGAGGTGATACATAAGAGAATGTGACCATAAAACTTTCCTTTCTTCCCGTGAGACCCACACACATTAACACGATTCCACGGAAAAAAGCAGGCATTTGAGATGAAACTCTGGACAGCAAGCCTGTATCATATTTATGCCAGTATTTTCAAATTTCTACATAGCCTAATGGTGCAGGGAGAGTTAACCTGTATTCCTGGGACTCTGGGGCTAAGCTTGGGGTGCCAGAAGCAAGATGATGGTCTCCATGGACAACCACATAGATATGTACATTTACTGTCTGCAGTTACTTATCTACCATAGAAAGCAGCCCATCAAGTCTGAGTCAAACTGACACCCAAAGAAGATGAGCTATGTATGTTTGGAGACTCAGGGACCCTCAGACACACGGCAGGCACTACTTTCTAGCCTTCTAGCCGTTATTTTGCAAGGCCCCACCTTGCTCCCTTCTGGTCAGGTCTTACCTGTAAGATGAAGCCGTAGGGTGCTGGAAACCAGCACTGCCCTTGCTCGCTCAGGCACTGGCATGCTTCTTATCAGCTGTTTCACTAAGGTGGCTGAAGGCCAGGCAAATGGAGAGAGTTAACAATGCTCAACTCTCCTGTCAGAACACCAGACAAGAAGCTGGTCCTTGTGTCTGAGCGCTTCTGCTGCACTGTCTCAACCTCCTATATTTACAAGATCTGATCGTTCCCCCTTGTACTCACCTGTCAACAGAACGATTTGCCTCAGGGCTGTAGGAGTGGTGTGTGTAGTTTGGAGATGGATATCACTGGAGAGAAATAGAAACTAAACTACTTTTGACAAGTCACCTTCCAAGTGATTTAAGATCTAGCTTGTTCCATTTACTATAGTCTGTGCCAAACATTTCAAAAACCCCAATAATTAAAACTTACAGAGTGCTTCCCCAGGGCCACACAAATGGCCTATGTTTAAAGTTTTATTTCACCTGGCTACAGTGTTTTAGAACTACAGCTATATAAATTAGCATGGGTAATTGGTAAACAACAGGCTCATCTCCTGGGAGTTGGATTCACAATGTCCCCGTTAGCTACTTTTGTGTTGCTACAATAAAATACTATGACCAAAAACAACTTGAAGCATTTATTTGGGCTTACAGTTCCAGAAAGATAAGAATCAATCACGGCAGCGAGCCATGGCAGCAAGTAGGAGACATGGTGGCAGGAGTTCCATCTTTTTTTTTTTTTTCCTTATCTTAGGAATTTTGTCTTTAACAGAAGACTCAAAGTAGAGAGAACAAACTCCCAGCTGAGTGAGGTAGTATAACCAAGTGACGTGCATCTTCTAGTAAAACCATACCTGCCAGATGTCCCCAGTGAAAATATAAACTGGAGACCAATTGTTCAAATACTTGACTCTACCGGTAGACATTCCTCACTCAAACTACCACACTCTCTCATGAGTAAGAAATTCAAGTAATTCCTCATGGACTTTGAGAAAAGGGAAGAGATCCCATGTGCTAAGGTAGTTGGACAGGGTACCATGGTAGAGTAGAGATGGTGCTATGCTCCTGTTGTGTGACAACTCTTCCCAGGGAGCTGGAACACATACATCTACTCACCCCAGGTAGGGAACCCACAATAGACCAAATTATGGATACTATCAAAGTGCAACTTAGTGAACCAATTAGTTTTATTGGGTTTACTTATAGAAGTATGGGTGAGGGGTTACTTACAGGACCAGGAGTAACTCAAAGATATCACCAAGGCCCACCCCAGCATGGGTGATGGCTCACAAAGCTGGGAGCCTGGAGCACACTGCACAGCCTGCAGGCAGCTCAAGGGGCTGGAGTGTCCTTCCCACACAACCCTGGTCTAAACTTCTTCAAGGCAGCTCAGGTGTTTTCTGCTTCTTCCAGTCTTTGCAGCTTAGCTCTCTAGGGTCTGAGGGTAATGCCTAGCTTTTATTGTTTACTCTGGAAAGTAGGAAGGGGAGCTGATGAATCTAATCAGTTTCAGGGACTTCCTGAAACTATTTTTGATTTCTTTACCTTTTTGTTTAAGGAGCTTCCCTGCAAAATGAAGCATTTCAATCCCAAAGGAGGAAACTTTTCATGTCCACCGATTCCCTAGAGAAGGGAAGATCAGAGTCTGGAAAGCTTGGAGATAGAAGAAAATGGGCAGAAACTTTGTGCTCATCTTGGGTTCCTATACAATACAGAGACTATTTTCTTTTAAAATTTATTTTTATTTCATGTGCATTGCTGTTTTGCCTGCATGTATATCTATGTGAGGGTGTTGGAGTGTCTGGAATTAGAGTTACAGATACTTGTGGGCTGCCATATGGGTGCTAGAAATTAATTTTGAGTGCTCTTAACGGCTGAGCCATTTCTCCAGTCCTGAGACTTTTTTCTTAAAGATACTTTTGTATTTGTTTTCTATGTCATCATGCTGTCATGGTGCCCTTTACTGGTGTGTGTGTGTGTGTGTGTGTGTGTGTGTGTGTGCATATGACTGTATGTATGTGTCTGTCTTCCTCTGTGCACACTTGTGTGCATGTGTGTCTATGTGTTTGAGAGCTAAAGGTCAGCAGGGGTGAGAACAATTCCATAAATAAGTCTGATTTCTAGAATGTACAGACCTGGACGTTTCGATCTCCACTAAGTCTCCCATGGTTAAGCTCACAGTGTTTTGATTTGAACTTTCTCCTAATTTTAATTTGTTTAGAGCAGGCACTCCTTAGCACATTCTCGTGGGAACTTTATGTACCTGTTGAAAGTGGCATGGAAGAGGGTGGATTAATGACAGTTTGGAAATAGCTTTCTTTTCAAAAGTATATTTATTGTTTTATTAACGTAAGAATGATTGGGATAAAGTAAGTCAGGAATAATGGACTTTCAAATTCAGTTTAATTCAATTAAATGACAATTTTGTTTCTAATGACACTTTAATTCATCAAAGAGAACAGTGTTTTCCTCAAATTAATTCAGGACTTACATAAGTTTGCTTGCACTATAAAATATCACAGGCGGGGTGGGGGGAAGCTTAAACAACTGACGTGCATGCTCCACTGAGAGCCATAAGGGACGACCCTGGCACAAGCCTCTGTCCGAGGCTGTCTGATAATTACCCCTTTGCTGTCTGCTCACATGTAGTCTCTGTGTGTGCCCTTGTGTGTTCCCGTCTCTTTCAGGATATCCATCAGATGGCCTCCATTTAACTCACACTGTTTCCAGTGTAGTCACGTTCAAGTGTCAGCAGTTAGGGCTTTGATGTGTAAATCATAAGGTGGTCAGGATTCAGTCTGTAAGTGTCATAAGGTGGTCAGGATTCAGTCTGTAAGTGTCATATCTGTTTACTACTCATCCGTGTACCCGTGTCTTTCCGTGTCTATCTCTTTCATCTATCTGTTGATCATGTCAGTTATCTGCTCACTAGCGTCATCTATCAATTTACTATTGATCACTATTATCTATTATGTATCTATTGTATACACACACACACACATACAGACACGTGTGTATAGAGGTTCACATACGTACCCATAACTTTTGAAAATAGATGCACATGTAAAGTTAATGACATACATAAGAAGCAAGTTAGTATTTTGCCATAGACCATTCATCTAGAAGTCACCAAGTCCCTCTGAGTCCTTTATGTCTGCTCTCAGCACAGGTGAGTACTTAGGCCATAGGAGGCTATCACATGGATGCAGGAATAGCTTGAAAATAAAGAATTTAAGAATCCACTTGAGTTTCCAGAAATGGTCTAATCTAAACACAGATGGTCTCCAGCTGTTTATGATTCTCCAAGATGGAAAAAGGGGGATCCCCAAAGAGACTCCTCAACCCCAAGCTATGGAAAGAAGAAAGACTGTGGCCTGGAGGATATGCGAGGTACCTGGTTAGCTCAGTATTGTCCTCCATTCCCTAAGCTACTCTTGTTTTGGAAGGCTCTCAACCCCCACCACAGAGCACTGATTGAGATGCACTTCTTACCAGTACTATTATTTATTTAAAAAAATGTTTTCTTTTTTTCCTTTAAAGGGGAAGGGACTTATCCTAGCTTATAGTTTAAGGGTATGCCTTCCATCCTAGAGGAGACGGCTTGGTTACAGGAGCCAAAACTCACATTGTTTTATCAGTAGTCAGGAAGCAGAGTGAACAGGAAGTTGAGTCAGCTGCACTACGGAACACACACACACACACACACACACACACACACACACAGAGAGAGAGAGAGGGGAGAGGGAGAGAGAGAGGAGAGAGAGAGAGAGAGAGAGAGAGAGGAGAGACCGACTCTCTTTTGTCCACTTCTTCCATCAAGGTTCCATCTCTTAAAGATTCTACATCCTCAAATAGTGCCACGAGCTAAGCAAGAAGTGTTCAGACACATGAGCCGATGGAGGGGACCATGCCTCTACAACTTAGTGCATCTCAGGACCATGCCTCAGCACCTCCCAAGGAGTTGTCTCCAAATGAAGCTTCTGTGCTTTATTTTTAGTATAACCCCTGTGTGTGCACGGCTTCCCTTTTGATGTGCTTCTAAAGTCTCTATTAGAATGAAGGCTTATGATTTTACTCTCATGTTCAGGGTTGAAAGAAGAGAACTATAACTTTGTAAAGTATACATCATGAGATTCCATAGCGCATACAGCATGTCTATGACCCAGGCCTGTGAGCTATCTTAGTCCATTTTTATTTAAAGAAAACTTTATTATTTTTTATGTGAACACATGGTGTGTGTGTGTGTGTGTGTGTGCACGCGCGCGTGCACATGCTCTGAAACCAGTCCCAGCTGTACCCTGGCAAACAGAGGCAGAGCCTAAGGTACATTCTGAAAACGTGTTTGTTGTCAGTCACAGTGTAGAATGTTTTCTGTTAAACAGCAGGAGATGGCATAAAACTTGACAGGTAGTTCTTAACCTGAGAGTCCTGACCCCTTTGGTGACCCTTTCATAGGGGTCACCTAAGACTATTAGAAGACACAGATGTTTACATTAACATGAAAATGAAGGTTATCTAACTGGCCTGTTGGTGTAAGCATCTTCATAGTAGAAGGGTAGACATAATGAGCCCCTTTTCTTGGTTTGATTCATCAGGGAAGATGCATGTTTGGAAGATGGGGAGACATGCTTGCTCTTAAGAAAGAAAGGAATGCCCAGGAGAGGCAAGGGGAGCTAGTTTGGGGGCTGGAAGAGTCAGAGGAGCTAATGAAAAAGTGTTATGGTGTGGGAGGAGGAAGAAGGGATGGATGGTTTTCACTGCGAGCATGGAAAGGTATCTGGAGCCTGCTAAGCACCGTTTCACACCATGGGTTATTCTGGAACTACCTGGGTGCATCTGAAAAAGCTAACCCCTTTTCCAGTGTGGTTTTAAGGTGTAGTCCTAATTGTTGTTACTGCCTTCGTTGTCAACAGTGCTTTCTGCTGCTTAAAAGAACAATTCATCTCTCTGCCACTCCAGGAAGCTTGTTTGGATGTGTTTCCCATCAGCAAGGTTATTTTTAAAGACTCTAATGGCGAACGGGCAATCTGACCTACATTAAATACCTAGAGCAGCAGGGTACCAACTTGGACACCTCCTGATCGATCCCTGTTTGTATATTCAGAGAGCACTACCACCTTATTTAGCTCCCTGGTGTGAGTCCTGGTGTCAGGGTGTCACTACCCCGGAACCAGCCAGCTTCGAAGACAGACAGACAAGATAGTAACTTCCAAACAGCCAACAGGTCCAGCTTTCTTTTCAGCCAAGCTCAGAGACAGCCCTGGGCGTCTATAGCAGGCAAATTAAAATGCTGCTTTAGCTGTCTTCTACTTGTTTGTCCTCACGTCCTAAACACCTACCCTGGGACATGGATGGAAAAAGCTTTGCCTACTGGACTTTTCCAAGGGTACCAGATGGCTTTTAAACCAGACCACAGGTTCTGTCCTCAAGTTTACCTTTGGAAGTCAAAAACAAAAAGGAGACAGACAGTGAAAACAAGACACCCTTCCCCCACTTTTTTTTCCTGATAACTTCTACAACTGTAGCTGGCTGGGTAGGAAAAGGCACCGGGCTTCTTTTCCTTCTGCTTTCCTGCAGGACATCAGGTCTGATTCTGGTATCATTCACCACCTGGTCTGATATGCTAGGTCTCTGCTTCTTCTCCTGTCATAAATTCTTTCTTTTAGGATCATAGCACATGAAAGTAATAGGGTTGACTGATTTATCCCTAAATAGCTTATTTAGGCAAAAGCAAATAGTGTACAGGAGAAAAGAAACATTCGTACAAATGTGTTGTCTACAGTGGGCTTTCTGACACCAGACAGCTGGCAGC